TGCCCCTGGGTACATGAAGGAGAGAATTTATTAAAAGAAAAAACATGTAAAAATTTACTAGCTTGAACTCTTCAGGGATTCAGCAGAAATATTATTCCCCCAGCTAAGCAGCAGCCTAGAGCACTCAGTTCCACATTCATTAAATACATGCAAGTTTTGCAGTTTCTTATGGGAAAAAAAGGCACTTTTTCTTCTTCAGATGATCCAAGGTTTGAAAGTAGTATAGTCCCTAGAAAGCATTTACTGGCCAAGAGACATGAGCACAACAGAGGAACTGTAGACAGAGATGAACAGATCTGGCAGGTAGCTGCAAGAACAGCCAAGGCCTGAGGCTTCCCTGGTGAAATTTGGGAAGTACTAATGACTTCATTGAGAGCTGCCTTGAACCTCCAGTATCAGGGCAGGAGCTCCTGCAGTCTGTGAAATAAGGCACTTTAAGGGATAGAAAAGACCCTTCTATATTCACACTGGTGGGCCCAAGCTGTTCCCAAGTAAAATAATCAGGGAAAAATCCTGAGCACTCTTTAGTTACTGTGGCAAGCATATTTCTCTCTCAGGATTTTTCATAAAAGAGCACAGAGGAAAGAAAGAAAACAATTCCTATTTCTGCTCCTTGTTTTCCCATGTGTAATGTGCTTGGAGATTTGTTTCCCTGGGGTGTTGCTTGGTTGGATTCTGGTGAGGATTGTTTGAGCCTGATGGCCAATCCAACCCACCTGGGGCTGCACTCTTGAGAGAGGGTCATGAATTGAGTTAGAGAGATAGAACAATTAGGTTTGTAGTTTTAGCATCTTCCTTTATATGGTATATGAATGTATTTTAGCATAGTTATAATAAAGAAATCATTCAGCCTTCTGAATTGAGTCAGACACCATCATCTCTTCCCGTCGGGTTTGCCTGCATTCACAACAGTTACCACACTCTCCATGCACTGAAAACACTCAGCTGAATTCATGAAGGTGAGAAGAATGTCAGAGATACCTGTTGATAATCACTTGTACTGCTGGAGCCTTGCACAGAACCTCTCAGCCCATGCAGCCACTGCCTGTGTCAATCCAGAGGGATTCCTGTCAGTCGGAGAGTCAGTGTCTGAGCTCCTGATTCACTTACACAAACTATTTGAGCATGGGAATCTCTCCTCTCTTTGTTTGGCCTTTTGCACAGGAAATACAAAATTTATCACAAGATTAAAGTTTGCAAGAGCAAGATATTTGAGTATCTTCTGCAGTATATTAATGCAATAGTTAACAATTAAAATATATAGCTAAAGGGCTCTGTATTTAATTTTTGTTGCTGGCTTTTAAAACACCTCAATTTGAAGCAAATTCTTCTTCCACAACCAGAAATTTAACAAATCTTCCTTTTATAAAGCAGCTGGGAGTAGGAGAACAGCAAATCTTTGAAAACCTTCATTTTGAAAATCCCAGAGGAACCTAAATCTCACTCTTTTTTTTTTTTCCCCATTTCCAAATGATTTATCATGCTTAGCAAAGCATGTATAAAAACATGGGGTAGGGAAATATTTTGAAGCTGCTCCTTTTTCCTAAGTAAAACTGCATTTAAAAAATAATTTTAAATTCTCAAACCCTGCCAGGCACTCAGGAGTGGGTGTGAAGGTGATAATAAAAGGAAAATGTCCTTTTTTTAGGGAAATACTGATAAGGCAGCAGCAAAAGGATTAGCCAGGCTGGCTGCAGTCACGGACAGTGAAATGTGACAATAAAAAACTCAGTTATTGAGTTAAGGACAGTCCTTTGGACACAAAAGACTGAAATGAAGAAAAGCTGTGTGTTTCTTTGTTCTTGAATAGGACTTTTTTTTTTTTTTTCCCAGAGGCTTGAAATATTACAGTGGTAACAGAGACTGGATAATAAGAATGAAAACTCAACCAAGAAAAATTCTCTGAGGGTTCTTTTAGGATGCACTGAAAGAGTAATTTGTTTCTGAACATCACCTGCAACAAAACAACAGGTGTGAGTAGGGTTAGAAACACTTGCCTGTGTTTGCATTTCTCAGTACAACTTTCAATTGAAGAGTGACAGAACACCAGAAAAGACTGGAAAAGACCTCTGAGATGATGGAGTCCAGCTGATAACCCAGCCCTGCCAGGCCCACCACTAACCCAGGTCCCTAGGCACCACATCTGCAGAGCTTTTGAATGCCCCCAGGGACAATGACACCACCACTGTCCTGGGCAGCCTTTTAGAGAAGAGATTTGCCCTCATTTCCAATCTGAACCTTCTCTGGCATAACTTGAGGCTGTTTCCTCTTGTCCTAGCACTTGTTACCTGGGAAAAGGGACTGCCCCCACCTCCTTCAGGCAAGAGCTCTGCCCATTGCCCTGCTGAACAAGCCATCTGGGCTTGTAAAATCAAAATAATCATTTCTTACTCTTCTTCAACTTTGGGTGGGGGGCAGGTCAGGACATTCAGAGAAGTTGTGCAGTGCTTTAAGCCATTTTCCTGCTTTGGTTTTTGGTTTCAGCACTGCTGAAATCAGCCAGGAACACGCCTTGTTCTGGGGCTGAAGGCTGAGGGACCCTTCTCCCCAAAGCTGAAAGCCTGCAGGCAGTCCTGCTTGCTCCAAACATAATGTGGTGCTGCCCACCTTGTGCCACCCTGTATGAAGGACATGCAGAGCAGAGCTTCCCACAGGTCCTGGGAGGCAGGCACTTTTCCAGGCACGTGTGGCAGCCCTGCAGAAAGGCCGGTGCTGTTTGCATGCAGAGCAGGCACCCGCTGCTGGCTCAGTGCTGCAGCAGCCTGGCACTGACAGCCCTGGTATTTCCCACCCATCACTCTTTAGCTTTCACACAGCTTGTTCTGCTCTCCCTTCTGCATGGTTTGATGGGTTAGACATGTAAATGAAGCTTTTTTCGGGGCTGTGCTCAGGGACTGTCGCAGTTTGGTTTGGCTGCTGCTGCAGCAGTGGGAGCTGCAAACTGAGAAAAATGGAGCCACCAGCTTTGCTGACAGCAGCATGCACATGGATGCTGTTGCCTGGATCCTTTTAGGGGAAAAATAAATTGGAAATCTCCTCTTTGGTGTTTCCAGCCAGCAGCGAGGCAGGGCAGCTTTTCCCCTTGCTAGCAATGTGAGAAATCCCCATTGTAATATCTAGCGCTTATTATCCTCGATAGCTTCATGCTATCCCACATTTGTTGGCATAATCAAGTACATCTTTACTGCAATATATCTTTCACATGTGCAACCCGCCCTTAAGAGACCCATTTTGGCTGATTAAGTTCAAACTGTTGCACTTATTCAGTCACATGCAGATACTTTTCTCCATCCCTATTTCTCCTTCCACCTTTGAGCAAAGCCAGACCACTGCATTTCCCAAAAAGCAGCTGAAAACACCCAAATCCACAATTACAGACCCCCACAGCCAACTGGCACAAGTCACACCAACAAGAACTAGGGGGGAAAATTAAAGTTCAAATGCCCAAAACAATTAAGGCATGGCTAAGTGAATAATTTCAAGGGCAGATGTAAAACACACATACCAGCACAAATATTTTGATGATCTCAGTTAAGAGACTCCACCTCTCCCTCCCTCTTCAGGGCCACAAACAAAGTTAAGTCACCACAAAAACATTTCGTACTGAAGTACTCCAGCAGGAGAACGCACCCTTCCTTGGGGTTTTAACTGTTAAAGCCTTATAAAGCAACAACACTTATAAACAAAACTGAGATGAAATCAGCATATGCACTAGGATTTTTTAAATATTCTCTTTTAAGTCTAACTATGAGAGCTTAACATTAGCTTCAGGGTGCTTTTAAGCCTGACAGTGAGACTAAGACAGAGTTAAGCCACAGCTGAGGACAGATTTTTTTGCCTCCTGTACTTTGAATCCTGACATTCATTGGAAAAGAAGGCAGGCTTGGAAGTAGGGGAAAAGTGTCTGGTGGTGCATGGTGGCACTGTCTGCACATCACCCAAGTGCCCATGCCATGGCTGATGGACACACAAGAATTTGAGGGTGGGGGAGAGCTATAATTACATTTCTGTGACAGTAATTACATGTATTTCACACAGTTCAGCTGATGTCACGTGGCACAATAGGTACTGTGAAGAATACTAATTTAACTTATTAAGTAATTTATTGCATAATAATTAACAGCTAATCACTTGTGAGTTAAGATGCTCTGGGAACAGACCCAATTCACAGTCTGTGCTGCCTCCTTCCTGAAAATATGACTACTTAGAGAGTGCTCCCCACTCCCCAAAAGCCTCCAGCTCTGCAGAGCCCCTGCTTGCATGCACAGACAGCTGCAGGTGATCACTGTGTGCATGGCAGCAGCTCCAGCAGAGAAATCAAACCCTCAGGTGATATCACAGGGTAGGCAGGGAGCTGCAGCTGCACCCCCTGGGATGGAGAACAGGCTTTTAGACCAGGCTAGAAGAAAAATGCCAGCTCTAGGCCTCATTTCTCTGCTCTGCCTCATTAATTTGAAGCTGTTGCAGATATATCTCAACTTAATCACAGTCACTCACTTGAGGGAGTATCACTCAGCATGTCAACAAAATACTGCTACAACTTTCTGCACTTGAGCTGATAGGGCAAAAGCCACTTTCTCCAGGAGTAATTGTCCCTGGTTTGTGGTTGCATTACAGCTTAGTGCCATTCAAACCATTCAGCATGAAGCCACACTCCCACATTTTCACTCCAGTAGCCTGTGCCAGCACTCAGCTGGGGTGTCCTCCTAAATCCACCCCTTCACACAAGGACATCAGAGCCTCTGGAGGCATCCCTCAGCATGACAATGACCACAGCAATATCCCAGCCTCTACCAGCTGGCAGAGAGTGATGGGCAGCAAAGACACACGAGTGGTGTCCCAGTGGGCTGTGAGTACCCACATCCCTTTCCCAGCTCTCTGCTTGTTGTAGGAAAGAAAACCAAACTCACAGCCAGCAGCTCCCTTCACAGTGATTCTCCCCATACCTTATTTGTTGCTTTCATTACTCAGGTTAAGGTAGCAGCCACAGCCACCACAGGTTGAATGAGATGTCTCCCACTTTTCTTGGCTTTTCTGATGAAGTATGTGCAAAAAGAATGAGGGGTCTCCCACAAGGAACTGCCTCCATATCTTCTGCCCTAACTTGATGGTTCACGTCCAAGTGCTCTGGGGCCAGATGAGGTTTGCCCTGCCTGCTTCAAAACCTAGGGAAAAAAAAATGTCAGATGAACACAAAAGATTTTGAGAGAATGTGTTCAACCAGGCTTAGTAAATGTCTTCTCAGAAAAAAATTATCAGCTGATGTAAAAATAGTGTTCTTCACCTGCAGTTCCTAGGGCATGTGTCAATCTCTAAGTAAATCCTGGACCCTCTGAAACCTCTGCACACACCTCAGTGACATAGCAATAACACATGAGAGAACAGTTCCTACTGAAAAGAAAAAAACCATTTGTGGTGGCCCATAAATCATCAGAGTGTGTCATTTCATATGGCCAAGGGCTGTGAGCAAGCAGAGCGCTGCACAGCGAGGTGACAAATTCATTTTGGATGTCAGAAGCAGCAGAGCTTCCAGTCAATCTGAGCAAATTCAGATTTACAGATCCAGCAGATTTGTCTTGTTTTATTACCTATTAATTCAATCCACAGATATGAGAGAAGAGCACATGCCAGTACCCTGACCTGCAGCAGAGGATGGAAGTTTGGGACAGACTGCCTGCTCAGCAGGTTCCTGGTGCCAGGAGCTGGGAGCGGTGGCCGGGAGCCCTTCAGAGGGACCTCGGCAGCCTGGAGGGATGGGCAGGGCAGAACCTCCTGAGCTCAGCAAGGACAAGTGCAGGGTCCTGCAGCTGGGCAGAGCAGCCCCAGGCAGCAGCACGGGCTGGCTGAGCTGTGGGCAGCAGCTCTGCACAGGAGGCCCTGGGTGCTGCTGGACACCCAGCTGTCCATGGGCCAGCCCTGCCCTGGGGACAAGGAGGCCACGGGGAGCCTGGGCTGCCTCAGGAGCTGCACTGCCAGCAGGGCAGGGAGGGGATCCTGCCCCTCTGCTCAGCCCTGCTGGGGCCACTCTGCAGTGCTGTGTCCACTGCTGGGATCCTCAGCACAGGAGAGACCTGGAGCTCCTGCAGAGGGCCCAGCACAGGGGAGCAGGACGATGAAGGGGCTGGAGCAGCTCCGTTCTAGGAGAGGCTGGGGGAGCTGGGCCTGTTCCCCTGGAGCAGAGACACCCAGAGGAACCTGATCCATGGCTGCCAGTGTCTGCAGGGAGGGGCCAGAGCAGGGCCAGGCTCTGCTGGGCACCGGGCAGTGGCACAGGAGGCAGCGGGCAGGAGCTGAGGCTCAGCAAGTTCCACCTGAACGTGAGGAAGAACTTCCCTGTGCAGTGCCCCAGCAGGGCACAGATTGCCCACAGAGGCTGTGGAGTGTCCCTCCTGGGGACAGTCAGGAGCCATCTGACACCATCCTGTGCCTGTGCTCTGGGGTGGCCCTGCCTGAGCAGGGAGGTTGGAGCAGGTGACCCACGGTGGTTCTTTCCAGCCTGAGCCATCCTGGGATTCTGGGATGTCAGCCCCTCTCAATTCAAGTGGGAGAGCAGGAAAGGAGGGATGGGCTGTTCTTAAAACCAGCCTAGAGTTCATAAGGCAAAACAGTTTCTTTAGACATAGTGGAAAATAAAAATCAACACTATTTGGGACTGAAGTGTCAGAGTTTCATAGTGGGGAAAACCACTGCTAACTACTGCTCACAGTGGCCTCGGTCCCTGGCTCTGTCCTGCTGTTTCACACAGATCACACACATACCTTTGGTGCTTCCAGTAAAAGCCTGACATCTCTCCCAGGCACAGCCATAAGGGGCAGGTGCTGTCTCTTCACACCAGGTGAGGAGGGGCAGCCATCTCCACCTCCTGCATGCACCCAGGACCCAGGTGGACCTGCTGCTGCCGTGGGTGCAGCTGCAGAAAGCCCTGCCCAGGCACATCCCTCCAGGCTTTCCTCTGTGCCCCGTGCATGAGCACCAGCAGGACATTCTGCCTGGGTGAAAGCTGCAGGGAAAGGTGACCCAATGGGAGGATCATCCATGGGTGATCCTCATGGTTGGGTTACAGAGCAGCTGCATTAAAGGAGCTGGCTTCCAACAGAGGAGCTCAGTGTGAGGCTCACCTTGCTCCTGGAAAAACTGGGAAGAAAGCAGAAGCATCCATTTGCTTATCGGTTACTTGGCTTTGGGATCCAAACCTCACCTGAGTGAGAGAGAGAGAGAAGAGTTAGCAACCTGAAGATCCCCCAAGCCCCCTTTGTGGATCCAAGAAGGGAAAAGGGGACATGGTGACTGACCAAATCTGAGGCCAAGATAACAGTATTATCTTTAATCTCAGTAAGGAAACAAGCACACTCTGTGCAAACACATTAATGATTTCCTTCTCTTTACAATGGAAAATTGCACCCACTTACCTGCCTCCTAGGGAGTTGTTTGCATTTAATTCTCTGCTATTTACAAAATACTTTGAAGACCATGCATGGAAAATGGTTGGTAAGATGGTTGGTAATGGTGGTTTGCTCCACATATGTCAAAGGAAGCAATCAATGATCAGGGTGTCTTCAGGAGACCCGTTTTCTCTGTTTCACTACCCAAGACTGGATGGCCCCAGTGCTGAAGAGAGCTGCTGTGGGGGGACTGTGTGCAGGGAGGCACCAGCTCTGCCTCACCTGTCTGTGCAGGCAGGAGAGCCCAGCAGCAGCAGCTAATTTGGGTGAGCCTGTTCCAGGAGAGCAGCACAGCCACACCTTGCCAGAGCAGGGCACAGAGGATGCTCGTTCCTTTGTCACCTCAGCGCAAACAACGTGCTCTCACCTGGTTCTCACAACACAACACTGGCATTTACAGTGCCCCAATCTGTGCTGAATCAATCCTTTGGCAAATCCTCCTCCACACAGCAATTGTTCCTTCTTCAGCAATTCAACAGCTGAGATAAAGGAACTGCCCCCCATTTTTTTCTTTGGGGGGGGGGTGTTTTGGTTTTTTGGGGGGGAGTTCTGTTGTTTGTTTTTGGTTTTTTGTTTGTTTGTTTGTTTTTTTTCTGGGGCATGGGGAAGAGTATGGAAGGGAATTATCCTAGAGAAACACCCCAGGACCTCTTTGGACTCCTTCACCAGTATCCTCACCCGCAGAGAAGCAAGCAGAGCCATTTCCAGCCCCATGTAAAGCCGGCCGTGCAGAGCAAACCCCGAGCCGGGCACATCCACGTGCCAGCCCACACCTCCAGAGCACATCCTGCCCAAAGCTGCCCCGGGACACCCCGGCTGAGCCGTGTGAGCCAGGGGCCCGCAGCCCCGGCTCGGGAGCGCCTCCCGGGCGGCTGCAGGCAGCCCCTTCCCACTTTTGGTGGCAGACAGCTCCCTCCAGCGGGGCATCTGCCACCGCTCCAGGCACTCTCCATCCCGGGGAAAGCGGGAATTCCGGCTGAAACCCCCTAATAAAAGACACCAACGGAGGAGTTACCGGGCTCCAGCTGCAGGACAAGCTGGGAAGGCAGCTGTGCTTTACATCCGGCCAGGACCAGGTGGTGGTGGGGTTTTTGCAGCCTGCATCCAAAAATGCTGCAGGCACTAAAAATGCTGTCCCCATCATTCAGTGGGTGGCAGCCCACCTGCCATAACCTGACCAGGTTTCTCACCAAAATTTTAAGTCAGGTTCTGGAGATGTTTCTCAGCCAGGCTGGAAGAAACACCCCACAGATCCTCAGGTCACACCAGGGCTTCCTGCAGAGCTCTGCCTTGGAGGCAGGAGAAAGCAGGCAGCACTGAGCAGGATGAAGAATCAATTTTTAATTCCATATTAAGCACCAAACCATATTTCCTTTTTTCTTCCAAAAAAAATATAAAGTTTTTAATTTTCCTGTGCAGATCTCAAGCAGGATAAATCAGCAGACATACAGGGGCATGGAGCAAACATTTTGTTCCCCAAGCTGAGCAAGCATTAAAATAATAAAGTCACAACATGAGGAACACTGTTGTGGGATATTCACGGTCTGCAGAACACCGCAGAGGGGGTGGCACAGCCGGGGGCTGTGGCAGGAATCTGGGGCAATGCAGGAGGGAGTGCCCAGGTCAGCGGGGCGCGGGCTCCCCTGGGAGCGGGGCAGGCTGCTCCGCCTGGCCAGGGTGGGCACGGACACTCCAGAGCCACTCGGGGGACCTGGCCCGCAGCTTCAGCTGGAAGGGGTCGAGCCGCAGGCACTCCCCCAGGTCGTGCAGCTCCATGGCTGGCTCCTCCACGGCCCTCGCCGCTGGCTCCTCGGGCCCTGGGCTCCTCCTGGGGGCCTGTCCCCTCAGGGCTGTGACACAGAGGACACTAAAGGCCACCAGCAGCACCAGGCCGGCCACAAGGGCTGCCCCCACCAGCGTGTCAGCGTGGCGGAGGAAGGCGCTGACCCCTGCAAGAGAAGAGCCACGGCCTCACCCCAGTGCCCCCGCTGCGCTCACACAGAGCCCCGCATCTCCTCTGGGAAGTTCAGCATGGCCCCTGCCACCCTCCAGAAACCCTCATGCCTGCCTTGCAGGCCAGAGTAAGTCTCCCAAAGCTCCATCCCAGGGAAATACTTCAACCAAGAGCCCAGAGCAGCACAAGGATGGCGCTACCCCAGAAGAAGCCCAACACAGCAAAGCCACTGCCAAAGCCACGTGCAGCTGCATGGAGACTAAAAGGTCTGCTGTTGTTCCCATCCAGGCCTGGAGAAACCCCCCCCCCCCCGCCATGGCCCAACAGATAAAGCTGGATTTATAAAATTACCTGTATCAGAATACAACAATAACTAGCTGATCCGTACAGGCTTAGACTGCTCACGTTGTTAATTAATTTGGAGTTGGTAGGATGGGTGAGAAGTTATATTTGGCTATGAGCTCATGTTAAGGTTTAAGCCACTGCAGTGATGTTGAACTAGTTTTGGTAAAGCTGCTGCAGTGTTTGGAGCACATATTGCACAATATTGCTCTTTTCCAGCCTGTGAGGCTCCATTACTCTGCAAGATTGGATTAGCCACCTCTGATTATAGTCAAGCACCATATGCCATCTGCTCAGCCTTGTGTCAAAGCTGGGGTAAACACCAGGAACATCACTGTGCTTCTCACCAAGATCTACACAGGGTGACTGGAGAACACAGGGCACCCCCAGGAGCCACCAGGTTTGCTGATCACATCAGCTACAGCAGAGGTAGCTCATAAATTGCCCCTGACCACACTTTGCTTACAACTGAAGGACTCGCATGTGCCAGGTTGTAGCCCTGATGCACAGAAAACAGCAGACTGGGGGAAGGGAGCCTAAAGCTCATGGAGAGGTTCTATTCCCAGATGGGAACTGCCTTGCAAAGGCATTCCACAAGCCTGCCACACCTGGCAGGGACACCTAAAGCCACCACTCGCAGCACACATCAGCCGAGGTGCAGGACCGCTGGCTAGGAGAGAGCCCCCTGCCCTGGTGTGCTCACTCACTCCAAGGACCTCCCACACTCATCCAGGAAAGCACCAGCCCGTGAGAGGGAGCAGAGCCCCAGCTCCATCCTCTACCTGCTCGGGGAGAGCGGATGCAGAGCGTGCCGGACTCGCTGGGAGAATGATCCTCATAGTCCTTCTTGCAGCGGCACAGGTAGGTGCCCACGCCATTGAAGCACTCTGCCCCCTCCCCACAGAGGCCAAGCCCAGCCTGGCACTCGTTCACATCTATAATGGGGAATAGTCAAGTCCCAGGTCAAGTCAGGCTTGGCATTAAAGGGTTTATCTCCAGAAAAAAAAATTAAAAAGTGAAGCACCCACCTTCGACGAACAGTGAAACCAGCTGCAGCTTCTCCACGCCCACTGAGGAGCCAAGCAGCAACTCCAGGTGATTGTGCAGGAGCAGAGACACGTTCCTCTCCTCTGGCTCCAGGTGCAGCCAGAAGGTGAGCAGCAGGTTGGCATCTCTTGTCCTGTGGGCAGGGGAGAGGCAGGAGGAAAAAAATATCACTGCAGGCCCAGCTCTGACAGCCCATTTAGACCTTCAGTCCTTGGCATGGGATCGTGGTACTGCAGGCTCTTGCAAAGATGATCTGTGCCAAGAGGCTGCTTTGCACTTGGATAAAGGAAAGCCCAAGAATGGCTCCTCATCTGGAGCTAGGCTGAAATGACCAGATATTTGAGTAAAATGAATTGTAGTAGCAATCTGCAGTCCCAGAACAGCCTCTGCTCACAGCTTTCTCCAGCAGGCACTGTGGCAGGTGAGATTATCCTCCATTTCCTCCAAAGTTTAAATACATCTTAGACCTATATAGGTCCCAGATAATACTAAACATCAATTTTCACCATCTTTCCTCTAGAAAACATTTTTTTTTTTCCTAATTTCAGGACAAGTTAGAGATCAAAGAAGAACAAACACATGTCTCTTCCTGGGGAAGGAGAGTGAGAAGCCAAGACACTGCTAATCCAAGAAATATTGCAGATTACAGCAGTCACCTGCCAAGGCAGCAGCACAGCATTAACCCTACCTTTTGATACCCCTTAACTTTATTTCACTGACTTTATTGGCAGAAAGCTTCAGGTTCTTCTGGATCTGCAAAGGAACAGAGTGACCAGTGCTGATTTGATGTTCAACCAGCAGGAGTATGACAGCAAACAGTTTATTTTCTCACTGTAGCACCCCATCTCTCTCCCCCTTCACAAACCCCCTGGGATGCAGAGGATGCCCCATAGCTCACTGCTCTGAGCCCTTTCTTTAGAAGAATACCAGCTTAGCTCTAGGTCATCTTCCCCAAACACAAAAGCACAAAATGGTCTCTTCTACGTGAAAATCTGGGATATCCCATCTGTTCTTCCCCACCTCCCCATGCTCACACTTACGTGATTCTTCAGAGATTCAAGAAGACCCCTTTGGAACTCGTTTCCACCATGAGGAATCCAGTCCTTGGCTTTGATTTCAACAGTGACTTCAAACAGCACATCTGCCAGAAGACACAAGGATCCTGGCATGTTCTAATGCACATAATACAAACAGGCTCCCCAGATGAGTCAGTCCTTAAACATCAACACCAGAACAGCACCATGCTTGTGCAGCTCAGTGCCACAGGGGTATTTCCAGGGGATGTGCATCAGGTAGGACAAGTTGTTGAATAACAGGTGAACACAAACCTTAGTTAATGCTTGTTGATGAATACTAGAATTGATCTCTCAGTGAAAAACTGACACAAAGCAACATATCCCATCACATTCACATGCCTTTAACCCTTCTGTATCCCAAAGGGATTGTCATAATTATGGATGGGGTCTACAAGCCTTTTTCTCTTGGAATCCAGACTGGCACAGATTTGCCAGTTGGCTGTTTAAAACCTATTTGTTCATCACTATTTCCCCTGTTTGGAGCTTGGGTTCCTTCTGTATTGACTCCTTTGTGCAAGATGTTTCTGTGGCTTGCTGGGCCATACAAACCCTGCATTTATATTGTTTAGTTGCTCTACCATAAGAGGTTTTTCCTTCTCTCCCTGGTCTGAGGAGCAGGATTTCTGCACATTTCTGATCCTGGTAGTCATGGGACATCCATTGAAATACACTGGAGGAATTGAGGTTCATTCACCCTCATTCATCTTAGAAAAACCTTATTTAGATAGCAAACAAGTAATGCTTGGACTCCAACAAGCCAGCATATATGTCAGGGTTAGCACCTGAACTCAGGTTTCTCCAGGGGAGACACACAAATTGGCCAAAGCACAACTGTGGGATTGCAGTGACATCTTAAAAAATAGCATCTTCAGAGTGGTCATTACTGAGAAACAGCTCCCACTGCTTTCTAAATGCAACGATCAGGTGATGTCCAGCACAGCCTCAGGCAGCTCCCTGAGCTTAGGGCAGTGTTTTAAGGCAGGTTTAATTCTGCATGGCTCACCTCCAGGATGGTGCTGGGATTGCAGTCCTGTGTCATTCTCCACAGATGACATCAGATCTGCCAAAGCAAGGGAAAGCATCAGGTTTCTATCACTGATGTACCAGTGATGGGGAGGGAAAGTGCGTTGGGTCTGGGTCACTTTGCAAAGAGAATGCCATGTCCCAGCTCATGCCTCTATTCTTTATACTGAAATTAGCTATCAGGCTCTGAAGACAATCTCTTCTCCTCTACAGTGGAAAGTGCTCTTCAGAAAGAAATCACCCCAGTAACCCTCATTTCCATTTCTGGAAGCAGACAAACTCTTATCCCTGTGAAGCCACTAGAGCTGCCTTGGATCCCAGTGGAGCAAAACAGCTTGGGCATTATATGCCAGCAAATGCAGAAAATCTGAATAAAATCTACAACAGAGGGGAAAAAACAGTTTGTAGGTGAGGAAATTCCATTTAAAAACATGTTCTGCTTTCAGGCAGAAATTAAAACATCAGTAGCTAAATATTAGTAGAAATTAATAGAAATTAGTAGAAATTAAAGCATATCAGTAGCCTGTGCAAGTGATCTAGCATCAACTCCTAAACTTTCTTAAGAGAAAAATTATTTTTCTAACCTTTCTCCAGCTTCTGGAGCTCAGACTCAGTGATCATGCCTGGGAGCACTGTGACAGGCTACAGAGGAATCAGTGCAAGACAGGGCTGTTTAAAACCAAGGTGAGCACTCCTAGTCTGCTTTGGGGGTGAAGTCATAGCAGAGAGGCCAGCTCCTTCATGGATAACTCAAAACACTTGGATTAGAAACCAGCCTGTCCCTATTATAATAATCCCATATATGCTCATGTTAGAGCTGATAATCCAGTGTCTTCTCAAGTCCCTCCCTCCCTGGATATAGGAGTCAAGAGTGGCACCACGTGGCCCAGCTGAAGGTAACAGCCATGTCTACAAATAAAACCTCCTCAGAGAGTGCTGCATCACTGGAGGTGGATATTGCACATTGTCAGGGGGCAGTTCAGCCAGTAATAACCAAAAAATGGCCTTACCAAAGAGCTCTTCAGTCCTTCCTCCCAGAGACACCACATCAGCAGCAGTCACACCAGGAGAGGGGTAGAGAGGTGGTTCTGTGCTGGTGTTCAGTGGTGGCTCTGCCAGCTCTGGTGTCTGTGTGACATGTGCAGCAGCTGCCACTTCTGAGGGGCTGCCACTGGCCTGACCCAGGGCAGGTGATGTGTCAGAGACACCTACACTGCTGCTGGGCAGATGTGAGCAAGGGGAGCCAGCTGGGTGACATGGGACCATGGTGACCAGAGCAGTCTCTGGCTCGGTGTCCCCCTTGGCCAGCTCCAGGGCAGGTGGCTCAGCTTTACCCCCAGTGTCTTGCCCAGCTGGAGCTGGCTCCACCAACATGTCATCTTCAGTTTCTCTGCCCTTGCTGCCACCATCCTTAGGGTTCCTTTCCAGCCTAATTTCATCCTGGCCATGCTCACTCCGGTTAGCACCGGACTGACCATCTTCCATGAGATCAGGAGAATGCTGGCTCTCTTCTTTTGAGCTCACAATGTCAGGCTGGATCCTGCCATCTGCAGGTGCAGCTGGTGGGCCTGGAGGAGCTGTCGGCATGAACAATAAACCTTTGGTCACCCCTGTCCTCCCGCTCTCTTTTTTAGAGGTCTCCTGGGGAGCTGCTGTGGCATTGCTTGACAGACCCACAGTTTCAGAATCTCTGAATACATAATACTGGCCTCTAAAATACCTGTATTCATGGTTTCTGAAGCCACTGCCTGACAGAAACAACACCTGGACCTCAGTGGCTCGTGCGGCAAAGATCAGAGTGCCTCGGTTGTGGCAGGCAAACACCACTTTGGTTTCCACGCTGGACGAGACCCCCTGGAAGATGATCTTGTCCTGGTTGTGGCCACAGCCATGGCTGCCCTGGAACCCTTGGACATAGATGACAATGTGCTTCTGGGGGCCTGCCCAGATGGTCCAGTTGCACCAGATGTTGGGTTTGATGTCAGCGTGCAGCGGGAGGTAAAACAGGCCCGACCCACCCCGGAAGATGAGGTGGCAGCTCCTGATGGGAAAGTACTCGGTTACCCAGGGAGGGCCCAGCTCTGACACATCTGGAACACAGAAAAGAAACATGCAAAGGTTATCATATTCACAAATTGTGTCACACATTACAGTTTATATTACACAAACTGCCACGGGAGAGGCAGCATTTCAGACCCTCTCCTGCTACAGGATTTCTGTAGTTCCAGCCCCGGGAGCCACATAGCCACATTTCAGCTGGAGCTAAGCCCCTGTGAGAGGCTGCATGAAGCAGGGCCAGTGCCAGCCAGCTCCAAGGTGGGCCCAGCACTGCACAGGCCAGCGAGGAGTCCTCCCCTGAGAAGGAAGGAGTGCCTGAGACAAGGGGTGATGAACTGGCTGCAGGTCCCGTTCCCCTGCCCTTCCCAGAGGCAGGGGAGAAGGTAGAGAAACCAGGACTGAAGTTGAGTCTGGGAAGAATGGAGGGCTGAAGGGAAACTGGTTTTAAGATTTAGGTTGATTTCTCATTATCCTACACTGATTTGATTGGTATTAAATTAAACTGATTTCCCTAAGTCTGTTTTGCCCATGATGGTAGACTGTCAGTGATCTTTCCCTGCCCTTATCTCACCTCACAAGCCTTTAATCACATTTTCTCTCCCTTGTCCTGCTGAGAAGCAGATTTGGAGGGCACCTGGTGTCCAGCCAGGGTCACCCCAGCCCAGTTTTCCCCAGACAGCAGGTTAGGATTGCCAGATGGAGACTGCAGGTGAAAGGCACAGCCTTGTCCTTGCTCCCACCAAGTACTTTTGGTTTGTGCCAAGACACAACGTGCTGGAACACCTACCAGCGTGTTTCCCTTGCTGTCCTTCTGGCACCTGGGTGCTCCTGGCTACACCAGAGGGCTCCCAAGGCTTTTGGTCTCTTGGCAGTGTTTCTCCCCACGGAGCTGCAGGCAGAGCAGGGTGTGCAGGAGTGGTGCTGAAGGAGGCAGTTGTTCTCTGTCCTGCACCCACTTGCACAGCTTCTGTGGCTCCCTGAATTTTAAACATCCCGAAGCTGGAGACAGGAGCTGGTTTGTCACTAGCAGCACTCTCCTGATGCTGCACAGGCACCTCGTGCACCTCTCTGGTGTCAGACAGGGAAGCTGGTGTCACCCCAGAGCCTCTGCTGACATGGCCCTCAGGCTGAGCAAGCCTCACACCAGGCCCTGGGACAGTGACAAAGATTGGGGAGGGACTCCTGGCCATCAAGCCCACAGAGGCTGTGCTTTCACCTCTCTGGCCACCTGCCTGTCCCAGCAGCAGCTTTTGCATCCCAGGGCCAAGGCATCTGGAGGACCCATCTGTGCCCAGTTCAGAGGCTACTGATGGATGGCAAGGTGGTGAAGGGGAGACCATCTCTCCTGCTGGGCTAGCTGGGAAGATGTCCCTTTGCCTGAGACTGCCAGGATCCCAGTCCAGAGCAGCTGCTGGAGCAGCCCCCATGGACAGAGACTCCACTTGTGGAGGGAGAGGTGCTTCAGGGACTAAATCCAGAGAGCCAAAGTCTGCAGGGACAGGTGCTGTGGAGGAGGTCAGCAGCACAGGGATGCTTTCTGTCCCCAGGGCAGGCACAGGTGTGAGAGGATGCTCCAGCCCTGTTGCCAAAGCAGGTTCAGCCAGCCCTGGTGCTGTGGGATGGAGTGCTGTTCTCCTCCTGGCAGCTCCCTCAAAACTTCCCAGTGGGAAAATATCCACGAGCTTGGTGTGATGGAGGCCAGTTGTGCCTAGCTCAGGTTTAGGCTTGGACAAAAGCCCCAAACTGCTTTGGCTTCTCTCAGGAAGCAGCTGCAAGTGGTCCCTGGTAACCACATCAGAGGGGCTCCTCAGGCTGGGCATCAGGCCCTTGGCAAGGCCATCATCTGGGACACTCAGCAGGGCATGGCTTCCATCCTTCTCCAGGCTGGCTGTGCTGTCCCTGGGGGCACCTGTGCCCTCCTGGCCTTTTCCTGTGCCAGGGGACAGAGGCTCAGAGTGTGCAGACAAGTCCAGGTCACCCGTGCCTGTTGGTTTAATGGTAAACTGCACATGGCCCAGACCTTTTGGCCTCAGGGTAGGGCTCAGGACAGGCTGGCTGCTCTCCAGACTTGCACCTGCTGGCTGCCAAGAAGGGTCTGCTCCCTGGAAGGCACCAAGCAAAGGAGTTTCCAAAAGCATGTTGTGCATAGGAGCAGAACTCCCAGCAGTGTACTCACTCACAGGGAGATTCTGCCTCCAGGTGTCCTGTGCTGCAGTGGGGATTATTCCCTCAGGTGCTCCTATGCCTGGAGCCTCCAGCAGCTCAGAGCCCAGCCCACAAGGAGCTTTTGTTTCCAGAGCCTGTGTCCTTGCACGTTCACATGGGATAAGCTCTGTAGGACTTCCCACAGCCGTGGTGCCCAGAGTGATCCCTGTTCCCTGCATCCGCTCGCTGCTTGGCACGGTGCTGCTGCCACGTGTGGCTGCAAAGCCCAGTGCCTCTGGAATGTTTTCAACCCAGCCAGACTGGAAAACACCACCTTTCTTCAGCAGTTTGGAAGCAGAAGTTCCAGAAATCACATCATCTCTGTAGGCAGAGGCACCTTGCTGCTCTTGGAAGATGTAGTACTTCCCTTTAAATTGTGCACCTCTCTGGTTTGGCAAGTACCTCTTCAGCAGCACAACATGGACAGCCTGAGCAAAAGTGGCAAAAACATGCATCTCCTTTTTCCAGCAGGCATAAACAACACTGCTCTCCACCAGGGAGGATACGCCTTCAAACAGAATTTTGTCCTCATTTTTGTTGCAAGCATCCTTAGCGATGAATCCCTGGATATAAATTATGATGTGCTTCCTGGAGCCTGCCCAGATTGTCCAGTTGCACCAAAAGCTTACAGGGAAATCAGCATGGAATGCTGGAGGAGAAAACTCTCCATATTTGTCCTTCAGCACTCTGTGGCAACTTCTTATAGGCACATAGGCCAACAACCAAGGAGATTCCAGCTCTGGAAGACAAGAAGCAGCAATCAAGTTTTTCCCCATTTCCACTTCCAAATAAATATTTACCATCTTTATCTCCAGAAATTATCTTCAGGATCCCTCTTCCCCCCATTTTGGCACCTCCTGCTCCTCTTTGCCAACCAGCACAGAAAGCCATCAGTGGGAAAACATGGGAGTAAACCCTTGGAAAGCTGGAGAAGCCCTGGCCACCACCACCTCCTGCTCCATGGAGAGCCCCCACTGCTACAGCCCCAGAGCAGGGCACACTCATGCTTTTAGCCCCCCACGGCCATGCAGATGTCCCAGGACAGGCACACAGTGGGTGCCACTTGTCCCAGGAGGCAGCTTCTCCTCCACAGGGTCAGGCTGTTTAGGGAGCAAGGCTGAAGGCTCAGGGAGCTGCCCCAGCTGGGAGAGTTCCAAAAGCAAAGAGAGCCCTGCTACGTTTGGTTTCAGCCTGTGGGCCAGGTTTGTTGTTTATACACCTGCAGAGCTGGGAGACAAAGCTCTCCTGGAGGCATTTTCAATCTCTTGGGTTTGGAGGGCTCAGCCAAGCCAGAAGCCATTAGAGCCCCAACATTAGTATCTCCCCACAGCACTCAAGGTGGAAAGCAGCTTTCCTTAGGCAGGGAAAAGCAGTGTTTTCCAAAACCACTTTCCTCAAAGCCAGAAGAGTGGCAAGTTCAGGACAGGTTTGCCCTACAGGAGCACACTTGAACTTTGGCCACTTGTTTTAATTGCTGCTTTGCTCCTGCCTGCAGGACCTGCTCTGTGGCAGCCACAGGACAGTGGCACGGGCTATCTCCCACATCAGCACAGATTTTTCCTAACCCCAGCACTCAGTACTGATCAACCACATTCCACTCCCTCTCCACACCACCCCACAGCTAGATTGTCACTCCTGATTTTCCACACTACTTATTGGTGCCTTGAAGTACCCAACAAATTCCAGAGGGGGGAAAAAAAACAACCAAACAAAAAAAAACCCACCACCAAACCCAAAAAAACCACCACAGACCCTGATCTGAGAACTAATTCTTACCTGGTTTCACTCTCCAGTATTCCTGAGAGGATCCCCTTGACTACAAAAAAAAAGAAAGAGTCCAATTGCAGGCTGAAATGCCAATTCCCAATGTTTATGACACTACTCAGAAAAATGCCAACACCAGTGGGAAGGGAGAACCAAACCAAGCCTGGTGGATTGGAGTTTTGCCTGCACCTGGACTGACTCCCAAGGTCACATAATTTATTCCATGTGATTATAAACCTTCTCCCCTCCCTACATCCAGAAGCACTGCCTGATTTGTGCTGTTGGATCACAGCCAATACAAAATCCAGCCCCAAAACACAACAAGCAAAGCCAGGCAGGCTTTAATCCCTCAGGGCCATACAGAAGGGAGAAGGATTTGCAAGCAGGCAGGCCACCACACCCAAGAGAGGAGCTTCCTACAGGGAGTCAAGTCCCCAGGTCCCCTCACTCACCCCTGCAGCAGCACCAGCAGCATCACAGCAGGGCCCCAGCATCATCCCAGGACCCTGCCCAGCAGGGGCTGGCCCCAGCACCCAGGGCATCAAGAGCAGGGCCAGAATAAATGGGGAGGACAAAGGCCTCATGGCAAGGTTTTACCAGGGGCACAACATTAAACAAGACCAAAAAAGAACCCCAAACAAACAAAAAACCAACAAAATGTACAAAAAGCCTCCCCGTCCCTCCCCAGAATAATCGCTCAGGCAGAGCAAACGTGGGGTCACCACTCTTCCCAGACCCTCCCCAAACCACATCCCCACAACTGGCCTGGCAGCCCACCCACTCATATAGGGCCCTGCCTGCTTCACCAGTGCCAGCAATTAGCTAATAGCAATTAGCTAATCAATGAAATGAGGCCAGCTATAGCTTGTTAGGGACAGACTTGGCTTTTCAGTTTGCTGCCCAAGTGTTGTTTCTGTGCTGGGTATTTGGGTAAAAACACTTTTCCATTTATAACACATAATATTCTGACCTGAAATTAAAGTTGTGCTGATAGCCCAGTGTGACACAGAAGCAGAGCCCAAGTTGTTTGTTGTCTAACAAAAGAAAGAGTGGGGGAAAAGAGTCCTAATGTAAAAGTGAGTGTTTTCATCACAACATTTTAACCAGCTTCAGCTGAAGGCTGTGATTTCCCCCAGGGCTGCACTATCCTGAGACAGGACTGAGTGAAACAGGTGAAATTGCCTCGAATTTCCCTCCTTATCTACATTTACTGAAGGGTGGAAAGCAAATAGCCCAGGTGATGATGTATAAATTATGAGATGCTTAAAATTCTTTCAGCTGTAAGAGTCTAACTTGTCATTAGGAGCCACACAGATTAGGCAATTAGGCTGTTTGACATGAAGCTTTGACAATATTGCTTTTAAAATGTCAATCGTCATTTAGCAAAATAAAAAAACTTTTTTTTTTTTTCTTCCCTTCCTGCTCATTGTAGCCTGATAGGATGATGTTTGTCCAGGGACAAACACCCCAAAGGGGTTTTTGGGGGTCAAATCAAGCAGTTCATCAGACTGTCCCAGCTGCCTGGGTTTTCAGTTGTATTGGAGCAAGCAACTGCTTCCCAGCTCACAATTTTTAAACTTTTCCATGCTCCCCATTGCGGTCCCAATGACCAAAAGGCCAGTGAGAGCCTGTAACTCTTGCAGCAGGACAAACCTTTTCCTCCACAGCCATCTCTCCATACCTACACATGTTCAAAGTGACCCCAAGCCCCCTCCTGCTGTCCAGGTGTGGCCAGACCTGCAAAACCCCTTTCCCACTTACCACAGATAGAGAATCTTGGAAAATCACTCTGGGAGGATGGAGTCCAACCATTAACCAAACACTCTGGCCCAACAGAGTCATGCCCCTGGGCCCCACATCTACAGGACTGAAATCCCTCCTGGTATGGAGCCTTTGTCCTTATGGGGGACTTCAGCTTGCCAGATGTTGGCTGGGAACACTGCACAGCTGGCACAAACAGCTTCAGAAAATTCCTAAAACTCCTGGATGATGGTACAGGTACTATGAGAGCTGACTGAGATGCCCTCCTTGATTTGCTCTTTCTCACAGAGAGGGTCTCATGAGTGAAAGGGGCATTGGTGGCTGTCTTGGCCACAGTGATCACAAAACCATGGGGTTTAAAAATCTCTGTTGACAGGGAGGAAAAGTGCCAGCAAAACTTCAACCCAGGACATGACTTCAGGCTGCTCAGGGAAGCAGAGGGTAAGGTTCCCTGGGAAAATGGTTTTACAGGTGCTGGTGTCCATCAGTGCTGGCCACTTTTTAAGCATATCACCTCCTAAGGGCACAGGAAGAGGCATTTTCCAAATGTCAGAAGTCAAGCAGACAAGATAAAAAGCTGGCTTGGCTGAGCAGGGATCTTCTTCTGGAAGTATGGCAACAAAAGGAAGGTGTATGCCCAGTGGAAGCAAGCTCAGGTGACAAGGGAGGAATACAGAGGTGCTGTTCACCACTGCAGAGAGAAAATTCATGTGGCCAAAGCTCAGCTGGAGCTGAAGCTGCCCAGAGCTGTGGGAGACCATAAAAACAGGGCTTTAAAAATACATTAATATCAAAAACCAGTGCAGAAATAACATCAGCCTGGTACAGGATGAGGATGGTCACCTCACAAACGGGGCCATAAAGCAAAGATTGTCCTGCTCTGCTCTGCTCTGGGGCAGCCCCACCTCGAGTGCTGGGGCAGCTCTGGGTGCCATGATACAAAACAGATATAAAGCTGTTAGAGAGTGCCCAAGGGAGGCCACAGGAAGGTGAAGGGTCTGGAGGGGAAGCTGTGTGAGGAGTGGGTGAGGTCACTTGGTCTGTTCAGCCTGGAGGAGACTGAGGGAAAACCTCAGCGGGGTATTCAACATCTTCATGAGGGGAAGAGGAGGGGCAGGCACTGATCTCTCCTTTCTGGTGACAGGACCTGAGGGAATGGCCTGAAGCTGTGTTAGGGGAGGTTTAGGCTGGATATCAGGAAGAGGTTCTTTACCCAGGGGGTGGTTGGGTGCTGGAACAGGCTCTCCAGGGCTGTGGTCTCAGCACCGAGCTGATGCAGTTCAAGATGTGTTTGGACAACACTCACAGGCACTTGGTGGAATTCTTGGGGCTGCTCTGTGGAGGGCCAGGAGACGGACTTTGATGATCCTTGTAAATCAGGATATTCCACAGTGACTCCACCCCTCTTTTGGGCCCAGCCATGTAGATTTTACCTGGCAAAGAGTATACCTGTCCATACCAGGAGCAGCCAGTTCCTTCAGGGGAATGCTCTGGGAAATGGAATCAAAGGCTTTAATAAAGTTTAAGTAGACACTATCCACAGGCCATAGACTCATGTGTGTCCAGGTGGTGTAAATTCCAGTAGGTGAGGTCTGCCCTCCTGAGCACTGAACACTGTTGTGCTACCAGGATGTAAACCCTGGAAGGGAACCCTGCTGCAAAGCAGGGAGGTCCTTAAGGGATCTTCTGGTTCATGAGGCGAAGAGGACCATTTGCTTAGATTAAGCTTAACAGGTGGTAGAGATGGTGAAATCAATGCTAAGGCCAAGTTTATTTTTTTTTGTGCTGTTATGTAAGAATTTGAATGAGGAATCTTAATGTGGTTTGTTTGTTTGGTAGCAAATCTTTATTTTCAGCCAATCTCCATAGAAAATTTAAAATACCCATTAGGATGTTTGGCCCTTTTGACTAAATCTTCATGTTCAGCAGTTGCTGATTCTTACTTATATTGGGGTCACCTGGCCCGGGAGCATCTCTTGGGGATCTCGTAGGTATGTCCACACTGGCCTGGGCCAAGTTGCACAAATTCTGCACCATGGGGCCAAAATCCCCAAATGGAATGTCACAGCCTTTCTACCAGCTCCTGCACCCCTGGTTTCTCAGGAAGGGGTTGAATCACCCCAGGATGAGCTGAGGGACCCAGCATGACCTTCAGGAGCCAAGCAGCTCCACAGCTGCTGAGGGGCCTGCCAGCATGGACAGTCAACAAAATTTAGCTGATTTCAGCAAGTGTTCAAATCTCCCCCCTAGGCAGCATGATATACCAGGAGCTCCTTATTAGAACTGTTCTGCTGTCATTTATAAAGCACCACAGATTGTCTGAGAGCTTAGGATAGATAAATTTACCATCTGCCTCCCTCTAGTGATTGCATGGCTGAATAAAGAGAAAGTGAAAATCACACTGGGCTAACATTCGTAACTCTCTCATGCGCCAAAAGCAAGTGGGAAGAGCTAAAGTAGTATGTGAAATAAAGATTTCACTCATCACCTCACTAAATAGAAATAACTAGGGTCCAAAACAAAGGGTGACAGCTAAAAGCCGTTTGCAAAACAAACATTTTTTTATCAAAGAGGAGATTATTTTTTAGGGAAAATGGTAACATCACTGTTGATTTTTTAAATAGGTTTCAAAAGCTGTGTTCTTTAGAGCTTAGCAATGTGTCCAGTGGAATTCCAGGGACAGATGCAGGGTGCTCATCTCCAACCCTCCAGAGTGAGCTGGGAGGGCTCTGCTTGCAGGGGCTGCTCTATTATTTATATGTACATTATGTAGAACAAGATCCCTGTATTCAGTGACCAGAGATATGCATCAGTTTAAGTCCCATTTCTTTGTGTCGCTACTCAGCCAGATTGATTTTAGATCTGTTGGGTCCCAAGTGCAATTTCACTCTCAAATACAATTAAAGGCAAGAGATTTCTCCAGAGCTGAGGTTTTCCTTAAACAGGGAGCTGGCTTTCCTTGATCACCCTTGATTCAGCGGATAATCCTGTGGACTGTGCTCAGGGATGTTTTACATGGGTGACGCCATCACGCTCAGCTTTAGCATGGTGAGTGTTTTGCTGTTTTGATGATGCACTGTAGTACTCAATATAACTGATATGTAGCTTAAACTCTGTGTTTTGTGGGATTGTTATAGACTAATAGCACAGACTGTACTGTGCAAGATTTGTAAAAAGATTAGTAGTGATTTTTCTCTAGGCTTTCAAGGCACCTGTTTCTTCCCTGACCTGGTTGTCCTCAGGCGCTATTATTTAATCTCAGAGAGAGAAGTTAGACCCACTGGTACATCC